GCATGCTGACTAGGGAATTCTGGGAGTTGAAGTCTAACCCCTCTGGAGCAGCAGGAAAAGGAGAGCTGCTTTTGACCTCACCTTATGGAAGGCCTATATAGAGCAGTGTTTCTCAACCTTGACAACTTTAAGATGTGTGGACTTCAACTCCCAGAATTCCCTAGTCAGCATGCTGGCTGGGGAATTCTGGGAGTTAAAGTCCACACACGCCAAGGTTGAGAAACACTGCTCTATATAGGCCTTCCATAAGGTGAGGTCAAAAGCAGCTCTCCTTTTCCTGCTGCTCCAGAGGGGTTAGACTTCAACTCCCACCATTACCAATGGTCAAAATGACAAGGGTGTTATGGAAGTTTAAGTCCAACACAAGCTTTTCATTTTTATTAATAGATAAAAGGATTGTTCTCTTTCTGAAGGGGATTTGAAATTGTATTAATACTGTAGTTAAATTTTCTTTTCTTTTTTTCCCTTGAATTCTTTGAAGAAAGGCAATGTATAAATTACTTTTTTTACAAGTACTTATTTGAAACTTATCTCAAATGAGAAGGGAGTCTTGGTGAATTTCTCATGGGTACAATTACTGAACACTTATATCAGGCTCCATTAACATCCTGGCCCCAGTTCCTGGGGAACAGCCAGGTCTTCAAGGTTTTCTGGAAGTCCAGCAGGGTTGAGCTCATTTGAATCTTGGAGGGAGGCTGTTCTATAGAGCAGACACCGTGACAGAAAAGCTGAATCTCCTGGGTCTCACTAAGTGATATTGCATCACAGTAGGGACCTGGGTCATGCCTACCTTGCCAGGTCTGGTGGGACAGGCAGAAACCACTGGAGACAGGAAATTCCACATGTACCTTGGCACATGCTGCTGTATTCTGGCCAGCTGGCCATTTTATTAAAGCTAGCAGGTTGCCATGAGTCACCGATCTCCTGCTATTAAGAGCAGCAGAGACTGCTCAACAGAATTAAGAATGTACATGTACATTTGACTGTAGACCAAGGATTGTTTTCCTCTGTGTCCAGAAGGAGAACACCTTGTAGCGTAGATACTTAGTCTTTGAAAAATGTGAATGCAAATGTATGCTGATTGTTATTCTTACAGCCTGACTCGGCAACCTACTTCAAATGGGAGAGTTGTAAATATAACCGTTATCGGCATCCTTGGGAATGCATACTTTATAGAGATATCCAGTTTGTGAATCAAAGGCCATTTATTGATATAACAAAGGTTACAGCTCTAGGAGAATATAAATCATGAAGGAGTAGTCATGGCATATATAGGAGAAAGATTGTTAGCAATTCAGTCTATTGTGGTTAGATACATTGGCCATATACTAAACAGAGACGGGTGTTCATCAGTGGATCATCAATGACTCAGGAAAGTGAACATAAGCAAGCTTATAGAATCCTTCCACACCAACACCATTCAAATTGTGCTTATTCATGTTTTTGCTTATTCTCAAGGTTAAAGCCATATTGGGGTATGTGTCTCTGTGTGGGTGTGTCTGTGTATATGGGGGGGAGGATTCCCTTTATTTTACATCCATGAAAGCAACCCTGTAAGGTGGGTTGAGCTGAGAGAAGAAGTCACCCAGTAAATCCCCAAGGCTGGAGGTTGAATTTGGGTCTTCCCAGACCTAATCAAATACTTTAACCACTACGCTATAAACTTGTGAACGATATTTTCAAGTACTTTGAGAATAAGGTAGAAAAACAGAAGCCTTTTTTAAAAGGGAAGAAAACTTCAGATTTTGGCATAGTATTAGTAGCACTGTTTTACATTCCACAAGTCCCTCAAGACCCGGCTAGGTGATCAGGCCTGGGGCTCCCAGGGGACTGGGGAGATTTTATGATGGCTCCCTTATTAATTTTATCCCCCCCTGTTTT